AAAAAACCGTGTCAATTCTTTTTACCGCCGTTGTCTACGCATGATCTATTGTATTTTTCGTGCCCCAACTGCTGATTTACATTCCACTTTTGCTCTCCCAACTATAGAGGAAAGATATAAAAAATGTTTGGATAAAAGACTAAATAGTATTCAGGTGCACGAGCAGGAGTTCTTAGAATGTGTACTGTTGAATAAAAACATTGTAAACAATTTCTTTGCACACTATCAAAGGAAATACTGTATAAAATGGCTACCAAGAGGTAGACCTAACAAAAGAATTGTAAAGTTTGCATCAAGTAAAAACGAAACGTTTTTTGATATTCTCTGTGATTTTGTGTGGTCAACATGATTCCCTTATTTTGTTTTTGTTTTCCTGTGTTGTAAACGCCTAATCTCTATTAGAAGGAAGTAACGAGGGATGATATTTTTAAAGACACTATAATTTGTAGCCTGTATTTATTCTATTTGTAAGTGTACGTTCATAAGTAGCTTGTATAAAATCTCTTAGTCAGTGTATTAAATTATCTTTAGACTGACAGCGCCCAAGTGGCGAACCAGTCTTCCCGCTTTCTCTTAAATAAAGCTCTACACAAACAAACAAAATTCATTAACTTTCTTTTCGAAGAAGGACATATTGATCTCATCTATACTTATTAGATTTTTTAATCAAAGAGATTTTATGTACATATTATTATTGTTTCGTGCACATATTTTTAATTACTCCTGTTTATCTATGCGGTAGATGTTTATGATCATTCAACTGTATACGTGAAACTTTCATATATCAACGTAAGTGTTGCCAATAAAAGTCTCTTGATTTGTTATAATTGAATAAAAAGTAAGTGTGTTTGTATGTGGTGTGTGTGTGTGTGCGCGCATACTCATCATCATCATTAGTCTTGGCATACTGCTGTGTGAAAGTAAAATTATTCAACCCTATCTTCGTCTTCTAATCTATTTTCATTATTGAATAAATCACACTACAAATACAAATACATACATAAGAGTTCTATATTGGATAAAAAACAGTCATCAGAAGATAATCGGCGGCCGACAATTCTTTTCATGTTTTTCAATTTGTTAGTACAGAAAATGTCATGTAATCAATAGAAAAGACAATTTTCCAATTATTGAAATATTCATTCGTCATGAGATTTGAATATCAGTTTAAAATGATAAAATTTTTTTAACTGTATTTTAATGAAGTTCGAATAAGAAATTATTTGTTTACTATATTTTTATAGGCTATAAGATAAAAAGTTGAACTATCAAGGCAATATGTAGGAGAATGTCTTTTTATTAGAATTTCAAAAGAAAATGAGAACATGCAATTGAACTATTGTAACCTTTAATTTGTTTCTCAATGTACTTAGGGCATACCAAAAGTAACGAGATTTGCAGATAAAGCCTCACAGACTAGAGGTAGTTAAGTTTTCACTTCAACAAGTATTTGAGCTAGTAGATACGATTACCCACGCGCAATAAATTTGTTTCAAAACATTTGCTGAAAGCTTTTTTCCAGATCATCTTTGATTAAAAAATTGAGTATTTTGGTTACAGTACTGCATACAGCGATTAAGAACTATTTTGATCGGTTAATTTGCTTAGACATGGCCGATTAAAGAAATATAACGAATACATGAAGTGGTAGTAGATCACAAGTTCTAGATTTGACACACATAAACGGACTTCAGTTACCGTTATTTCAGCTGAAACCATAGCAACACATCAGAAAAACGGTCGGTTAACCGCGGCTGACCGACCGTTTTTCCGGTTAATTGTGAGGTTAACCGCCGGTTTTTCTAATTAGAAAGATTTCAAGAGAGGAATCTCTACCGACTACAGTTTGACGCAACAATTTAGGCTTACAACAATGTTTCAAGCCTTTTCTCAAACTAACTAGCACACTCTTAAAAGATAGACAGATACGGAAAGAGAGCAAATTTCTAATCACCAATACTATATCAAAAATTTCCTAAAACTGCTTTATCAAGGAAGTGAAGCAGCAAAGATCATCAGATAGTGTTTCGAACATCAAAAAGTCATTATGACAACGTTCAACCTTTATATTCACAAAGCTGTTTTTTAGTATCTCGCATCAAAACGCATCTAAATGTTTTATATTCACCGTATTCTACGAGTCCAATACTACGTGGTTTTCAGGTATTCTATCTAATTCATACGCTTAATAAATCAAACGACATTTAATCAATGCATTGAGTGCTGTAACAAAAATTGATGAATTTTTTTCAATCAAAGATGATTCGAAAAAAACTTTTAATAAATGTTTTAAGACAAATTTTTTTGTGCGTGGGTAATCATGTCTACTAGTTCAAATACTTGCTGAAGTGACATCTTGATTACCTCTAGTCTGAGGGTTTTATCTACAAATCTGGTTACTTTTGATATGCCCTAAGTAATGAAATGAAATACTAAAATCTCGTTGGAAACTCATTTAGAATTTTGTTGTACAAGATATTGAATACAATGATTGTCACATATTAAACATGATTAAATTGATGTTTAATAGTCTCTATTTTTGTAATAAAAAATAAAAATAAAAAATACATTAGCAAAACTTCTTCGAGTTGTTATTATTCATCTATACTTTTTCGTGCAAATAAACGGCACAATATATGAACAAAACACAATAAGAATTTTTCTAATGATAAGAGGTTTTACTGATATTTGAAATTTTATAAAAAATGTGTATATACAGATTTGAATATTGACAATTTAACCGAAGGCTGTTTATAAAAGTTGTTGATAACTGTACACATACTATTGATAACATGACATGTTTTACTCATTCATATTCGTTCATGCAAAATTTTTTTTTCAACCTCCCTCTTGAAATTAACTCATCGATCTTTTCACTTTTTCAAAATTTAATGAATTTGCCTTTAAGGCGTATAGTATGTGTGTGTGTGTGTTAAGTTGAAATATGTATGTGTCGAATTTTAGAAATCTATCAAGTAAAATGTTCAGGTTATTAACAAACATACGTCATGAAGTAGATTCTGACATATTTCTAGAATAGAAAAAAAATTTGAACATAGTCCTTCTTCTAAGAAACTAGACAAGGAAAATTTGTTAACATAACTAAGATTTAATGATTCGTTATATTATCAAATTCTAATAAATGTGTGTTGTCAAGGTCGATTAATTTTATATAACACTAAATCAATATCTATTTTAAATGTCGGTATCAATCATAGAATGAACTATTATCATCTCTCTCATATAACAGCTGTAATATGTGATTATTTTTTGATTAAAAATAATTTTCGGAACGAAACATTCCGACTAATTTTATTTCATTTTTCATTTCTCATGATTAATATTATGACACATATGTTACCAAAAGGAAATTAAAATTTTCTCATTATCAGTTCGTCATTTTTCTTCTTCTGATAGAATAAAATTAAAACGAAAAAAAAAATAAACAAACAGAATAAGCAGAAATACAAAATATAATAAAAAAAAGAAGAAGAAGAATTTTGGTGTCAAATTCACTTTTGGAATGTGATGAGGTTAATAATATTTTTTTTTTGCTTTCGCCGATGGTTTATATGGTTCTAAATGATGACTTTTATAGTATTTTTCACTATGAGTTTTTTTTGCACATTTATCACAAAATAATTCTTCACAATCATTACAACGTTTTGTTGCATTATCATTACAAACGGTACACCTAGAATATAAAAAAAAATTGAAAAACATTCATATTACAAGTTTTTTTAAGAAAACTTAAACGTACCATGGTAATTCATCTTCCTCTTCATCTATTTGCTCTTCGGGGAATAACGGTTTTGTAGATGGTAATGTTGCTCTATCTATACCTAATGCACGAATACGTTCTTGAAGTTGTTGATCATGTTCATCTTCAGTTTGTTTGTTTTTTTGATCTAGTGTTAATTCTGCATTCATCTGTGCCATTAGATCATCGGGATTTGTTGACATTTTTCCTTTAGGTAAAGTATTTCGAGTCGATGATGATGATGATTGATCTCCTCTTAGTGCCTGTAGCCGTTGTTGTAATTGGTCATCAGTTGATTGCTGTTCATTTAATTCTATACGTGACTGTTTTAATCGTTGGTCATCAGTTAATTGCTGTTCATTTGATTCCATACGTAATTGTTTTAATCGTTGTTCAAGATCATTCGTCTTATTTGGTGGTGGATTATAGAATTGATCAGTAGAAGGTAATTTTTCTATACGTTTTATAAAATTTTTTGGTGGTGGTTGTAAAAGTTCATGTTGTATTTGATGATAACATTTTGAACATACTTCATGCATAACATAATTTAATTTTGGTACAGCAATTTTTTGATATAAACAATTTGAACAATAGCTAAACTGACAAACTGGACAAATTTTTTTTGTCACAGTATTTCCAGCACGTAATAAACTACTACCAATTTTTTGTTGACAAGAAGCACAAATACCGTTACTACTCATTTCATTAGAAAAATCTATAAAAGATAAATCTAGATATATTAAGCGTCATAAATTGATTACAACATTATCATTATGTCAAGTCTTGAGATGGATAGAATGTGTGACAAGTGAGGTAGAAAGCAGCTTTGTTCAGTGTATTTGTATTAACGCCTCTATACATTTGTATCTTGACAAACCCCTATTTCAGCGTTTTTGGCACCATACCAGCCAAAAGTAGTTCTAACGGATTTGTAACGGATTTTCCTCTTAATGTAATCAAGATGGGAAGAAAACGACAATTTTGCACAGTAACGACAGTAACACTCGAAGATAAAAATCACTTTAAAAAAATTTGTAAAATTGAAGAACTAATTTATAAATTTTTATTTTTCCAGTCAATTTCAAAACTAATTTATCTTTTATGTCTTTAATTGTTAACGACATAACGAGAAAATTTGATGTATATGAATTGAAGAATTTATAACGTTATAAACATGTGGTATAAAATGCATATATTTACACAATAGGATATCCAAAAGGCTTTGATTTTGTTTGTACATAAAAGTACATAAATTCGGATTAATTCGTTGTTAAATATGTGTCGCCCGTGCGTAAACTTCATTTTTGTATAACAACAAAAAGAGGGGTTATTCTCTTTATTATTAATACAAAAGTCATTTGAAAACTAATCCCAAATTTGAACAATGATACAGTACTTTAGCTTAAATACATTCAAAATCTCATAAACTCAACGTGTTTTCAATAAATTTTGTAGCCATTACATGAACATTTCACATGACCTTTACTCTCTATTCATCATGAGTTGAACTTTAAAATGGTATTCGGATTTGTTTTGTGTTTTTTTGAGTGTTTCAATGAAATGAAAGATGACAGATCAATCATATCCATTAAAAAGATTGAATTCAATTTATGTTTGGTGTTAAAACGTATTGCTCAAAGCTCTATATATTCACGATTAATTAAACAGCTATTGTTTTTAATAGAAAAAAAACAAACGTAAAAAGAGCAGAAAATTGGTTCAAATGTGAACGAATGTACTAAATACTTCTTTTGAAAATGATGCAACCTCCGTTTTATCTATCGTATTCATTCTGTCGACGCATTAACTAAACAATAAGGAACGATATTCTTTATCCAGAGGCATAGTTGACCTAGAGTATTAATAATTACAGAACATACACACACAACTATCGCGAATTCTATTGTATTCTTAATTCTAATAATAAATCACACAAATATATTAATCTTACAAAACAACAACAATCTATCGTCTATATTTAAGAAATCTTGACTAAAACATTAACCAATTGCTCATGCACGCAAGTGTAAGCCTTAATGTTCACATTTATGACATTAATATATGTGATAAAAGTTGATAGTAGTTCTAGCAACATTTTTGATTATATAGCACTGTCCACAACTATTGTTAATACTGCTGCTAAAAAGAGTAAAAAATGTTATATCACATGGAAAAAAATGAAATGTACGTGATAATTTGTGTATATGTTTTTGATAACTAACGCCTTTATACCAAAAATCTAGAACAATAGTGTCTTTTTTTACTGTTCATTGCTATAGAGGGTCATTTAAAGAATAAAATACATAACACGGACAATCAGACTGAATTCTTTTGTCCTAGATCATGAATATTGGAAATTTCTGTCACAAAAGAACAGGAAAAAAGACGACAGTGTAGTATTGTTTCTGTCTCAAATCTCTTCATTTATACATATAAATATAATGTACAACAAAATATAAACTAGTGTGAGTTTCAATATACTAAATCAAAAACAAGCATGTTAACAGCTTGAAAATATTATTTGTTATTTTAACATGGTCTGCAATATTCTTTACAGCAGAAATGGTTTATTGTAGTTAAACAATTAATTTCGAAAACAACGAGTGTCTTCTATTTTTAGATATGTAAATTGCCGTCAAATGAAGAGCCGACCAAATGTTTTCTTATCTGTTATTATCGATTGTAATCATCATTGCAAGGACTGTATATATACATCACATCAATCATTATCATTCGGTTTTTTACAATTTTCTATTCTATTGAATAACAATAAAATTTAGATAATGTTAAACGCTGTTTTTTCTCTAACGAGTGGAGTGTCATTCTTATCTGATCGATAAGAATAACCACAACGTTTGTGACACATTCTCACAAATTTTTTTTACAGTCAGTTTCAAGCGGATCTTCTTGAAAACATTTTTTTCAAAACTTGCATTCGATCTGAACGAAATTTTCACAGATTAAAGGACATGATTAGAAAATGTTATGATTATATTTATATTCGAAAAGCTGAATTGTTCAACAGTTATTAGTTAAAATATTGAATTTTAAAAATTGTCGATGCAAAAATCTCGATTTAACATGAAACTTTCATACGAATATTTCAGTATGGTATTTTTGTGAGAAAAATATGCCTTACATGACGGATAAACAAACTGTAATCTAAAGACACTGTGTATTCGTTTGGCGTAGTTTAGACTTTAGAGCACTCTAAGACGACGTTGTACAGAGGTTCGCCATGTCGTACTTTGACGAAACATCGTCTTTTTGCGTCTTCAGCGGCATGAATCTGCTCTATAAACCCACATAATCAAAGCAAGAACCCAATGGAGCATAGAGCATAAAAAATAGTTGGCTTTAACGATCTTGCTTCATGAGTGATTTCGAAAACGTTTGTAAAATTCAACAAAAATTAATAGTAGGGTGTATAAAGCAATACAGATTCTGATAGAAGATATGGAAGGCTATTCACTCACATAAAAAGCTTGAAATCGGTTAGACAACTGAAAATCGATTTATTTAAGGGGGGGGCCTCCTTAATGTTTTTAAAACTGTTATCATGTCTAATCAATTACATCATTCATACACACACATATTGTGAAGAGAGTGAAAAGAGTGTCAAAATATGAGATCATAGATGTCATCATAATAATGATATCTCAGATACTGAAGAGAAGAAACTTATCGATGTAAAAATGTGTACATTAGTTCGTATCGTAATCTCAATCGATCAAAATTTAAGTAGTTCTTGATGAACAACTATATAGAATATGCATGCACATTAATCAACGAAAATTTTCTATTGACATTCGTCGTACTAGAAGATCTCATTAAGAAAAAGTGAAGGAAAAACGTTTGTACAATTTTAATTATACAAAAATTAGATTCTAATACTATCTTTAATACATCTATTGGTATTAAAAAAAAGAAAAAAAATATTTGACAACATCATCAACGGATAAAGCTGTTCTGTCTGACAAATCTTTCTGGTTAAAACGTCATCTTTCTTGATTATGATCTTAAAATGGTATGACTTCAAATTTTTTTTAATAATAGTAGCATGCATGACTCGAAGGCTGTCGTTGATATCATTATCAATGAGAAAAAGTGAAATACGATAACCATTTTCATCTAAAAATGCTCTATTTTAAAAAGAAAAAAAAATTAGAATTATAAAATTCAATTGTTCTTAATATCACCAGGTGTTCATCATCTCATTATTCTAATACAGTTTCATTTGTTTCTATTATTTTAAATGTCTGATTTTGGGTGTTTTTCTTCTCTTTACACACGTGCTCTGACGTAATCACTATTTTCTTACTCTACGATCACATTTTTATTTCTATTAAAACAAGCAAAAAAAGAAATTTGTTACAGTTCAATTGATCGTATATTACGATGATGAACTAAATCAAAAATAAACTTGATTACACAAGTATTCTCACTATAATTATACAGAACAAACATAGATAAATATATGCACTTCATCTCTACAGAAAAAGAAATTGTTGTTGTTGTTGTCATAAGATGACACACTACTGACAACAACAATATACTATTACGCCATTATATAGTATATCGTAAATGAACGTCAATAGTGTAGATGTATGTATACATAATAAGACATTTCAACAAACAATATACGAGTAATTACTATTCACATTTGCCTTACAATATCTATTTTCTAATAGATTATTTATTATTTATTATAACATAAAAATGTCATTCTATTTGTATGATGCTCTTTTCTGAAATTTTTCATAATACACTTTTGATTTATCGATATTTTCAGATTTTGAATAAAAATTCGAACTCAAAATCTAGAAGTGAAAATTTTCTATTGGCAAAATATAACATATCTAGACAAGATTGCAAATTTGATTCGAACTTCCTCTGTGTTAAATTGACTTCTCATATTTATGATCTTCAACTGTTATTCTTGGAAGCCTATGATGTGTATTCAAACGGTTGTTAAAGGTTTCATGTAAATTTTTCCAAATATATCACCCTCAAAAAGAAGCATACAATCATAACATAATCTTTTCTGTAGGCAAATAGAAGGCAAATATTGACTAAACTAGACAAGTTCGCAAATAATAAAACCTGCTATTGTCATGAGTTTTTTTTTTTCCGCTTATTAACAATTCTTTACAAGTCTACTGTTTTTTTTTTGGAAAACAAATTTCTGTTGAATGATGAATAGTCGATTATCCAGATGACGTTTTTTGAAGTTGATGAGCTTCGACTGCATAAGTTTTTTCTATTCAAGTGCTCCATCATACATAAAACGATAGAAGAAAAAAAAAAACGAATTATAATATCGTAAAACAATAAACAAAGAGGTCAAAAGTTCATTTCTCAAGAGAAATCATATGGCAAAAGAAAACGATATTTAATCTCGTTTTAACTCTCCCTTTTAAATCTTCTGTTTCTCACGCAAACATTAGGTTTTTTTTGTATATATGATGAATGAACAATATCTCCCAGTAGTTAATATTTTTGTACCGTAATGAATACTTCAAAGATTAACTAACTCTTCATTTGTGTTTGAACAAGTTGACATGTTCTAGGACAATCAGCTTAGTAAACATTTCAGGTATAAAGAAACACAAAAAAATAAAATTGTATCATGTATAGATAATTAATATAAATTTTTTTGATATATGAAAAAAAAAATGTTTACTATCTATGTACAGTAGAC